CATTTGTCAGACCTCAATGGTTGAAATGTTTATCAAAACGCGTCACATTTAGTTGCACGACGTCCATTGTGAGTCACACGAACGAGTCCCTATTCAATAGGAGAAAGCCTATTGCCAATGATGTTCCTTTTCTACTGCACATATTTCTGTGAGCAACAGCAGACAGTGTGCGTCTCTTTTATCCACATTGACCCGAAACATTGATGTTCTACCAGATAGATTTCAGACAAACTCAGAATCCATTGCATTTAATCCTATCATTGCCCTATCGACGTAGGTTTTCTTTTTCCTCGACAATATTGTGCCTTGATCGATACACCGTTGTCCTGTGGTTTCTGAATATCCGCTCATAAAGTGGTTACTTGGCTTGAAAGCTGTCTTCATACACATAGGGTAATCAGAATGTTTCGTCAGTAATATGTTTGGATTAGCCAAGCACAATCAGTTCCAGCTTCAGTTTGTACAACCATTAACCTTGCACTTATTTGCCGGTTTTGGTTGCTGCCTTTGGATGCCCATTGGGATGAAAAGTAGGAAAGATGGGAAGGTTGGAAGAAGAGTCAAAGAAAAAATGGAGAATTTCAGCAGTCCAAGGTTGTAAAGAAAGTGAGAACGCCGTTGTTTACGGCACTCACCCATGTCACTCAGTAGCTCTAACCACCGGTTATGATCATCCCGGGGACCCAGCCAGGGTGCCTAACGGGACCCATGTGGCCGAGATTTTTGTTTAGTTTTCATACTCCATTGCCGGGTATTGGTTTGACCACCGTGAACACTAAGAATTATTGGCAAGATTATGAACCACCGAAAACGATCTCGTTACCCGTGTTGTTTCATTTTTAAGGTTTTTTATTACACTTCCATTTGTGTGACGAACAGCAGACAGCTTAAAATCCATAGACGGTGAAGCCTGGTGTTTAGTGATGGAAACCGGCAATCTACGCCCCGGGGCATGGAGTGGCGAACCACAAAAGGTTATCCTGGTTTAGACATGGTGTTGAACCGGACAACAGCAAAGCTACCTACCACCAAAGTGGGGTCAAGGTGACGGTGATGGAGTTCGAACCTCAGACCATAGGATCCAAAGCATGTCATTGACTGTAACCAAACAGCTAAACCACCATCACTCCATTCGTTCTTCATCATTTTAGTTACTATATACTGCAATATCGCTTGTAACGACAAACTTGTTTTTCATTCACAAATAAAATGAAGAAAACATGATGCCATCAACTTTCAAATGAGCAACTTTTACCACCTTTTTATGGGCAGTAGCAGCAGCGGAACGCAAACACACAATCCCCGGATAGGGGTAATTGTATTACAGTTTATGTGACTATTCACCACGTAAAGCGATTGTGGCCGATCCACGAACGTCGTACAGTGAGGGAGGATTACGGATATGGTTTAATTTCTACCTTTAGCGATATCAGTGTCTGAAATCTTCGAGGAAACCGTAATCCACCTAACTCTTACCCACGTTGCAATGATGCGCTGTTTGACCGCGTCGCAGGCCCGCACACCATCAGTCCGTAAAAATGGCCTGGGGGGATGCTTACATTTTTACAACTTCGGCTCTATCGGACCTGTTTCGAGACATCAGTTCAAAAAAATTATTTGAATACATGACCGAAAAATTACCCTTTTCTTTTTCCCATTGAATTCTTTTCCGCTCTGCTATGGACTGGGGCTGATTAGGAGATGCAGACTTCGCGTTCATATTGTGGCTTTGATTCTCGGTTCCACCATTTGATTTCGACAGATCGGTTCCGGATTGTGGAACGGATGCGTCCGGAGTTATGTCTGTATTAACTGTCGGCTCCGGTCGATCTGAAAAAAATATTCGAAAAAGCACTGAACTAAACTCGTACTTCTTTCAGCCAGTTTTGATTTTGCATCCAAGTAGACTGCAGTCAATACCTTGACCATAGAATCATCAGATAGTTTTTCCCGATTCAGTTCAGCGACCTGCTGCATGACAGAGTTTATCACTGCGTCTTCCGATTTCGTTAAAACTCGATCTTGTAACTTCTGGTTTGGTAATTCTTATAATCACAGGAACTTACAACACGTGAGGCGTCTTCCTTGTTATCTTTGCCGTTTCCTGGTACTGTAAAATTAAAATGAAGTCCATGAACGCCTGGAACACACCTCGTTGTTTGGTTTCCTCCACAATGTTGTAGATGGACTGCAAGTGCTTCGAACCAATGACACCCGTATTTCCACGTGACGCCTCATGAGTCTTTTTCAGTCTTGGATTGGGTGTTTTAACTTTTTCGATGAACTGCGGGGGCATTTTGGCCCGATCAAGGCTTCCGGTCATCCTGGCCATTCCAACCGACCCTTGTCCTGTGACGATAAAAAACCAATTAGAGAATCTTACGGGCAATTCCATTTTTTAGTCTCGTTCCTTTGTTGTTTTTATTCATGGAGTTCATGTGTTGATGGGAGATCTGACCATTAGAGAACTTCCAAAATATCGTGAGCTGAAATCAGTACACAGTGTTCATGAATTCGAAGAAAAAGCTGCAGCCAAACGCCTGCAGCTAAAATACAGAAACAACCCTTAATCTAAACTTCTCAGATCCTCCCAATGTAAACTCTCCAACTAATTGAGGAACAGACGTCCACTGAGTAATAAAACATTCCGTTAAAACATTTGGACCAAGCCCGGATTTATAATCAGAGAATTGGCTACAAGACACTGTTACATCAATCAAATTCACTAAGGTCATGAGAATGAAGATCAAGTGGAATTCCTGAATGCACAACATTTACAATAAATGAAAGTTGGAGAGGTAATCATGAGAAGTTAAATCTACATTGAGCTTTAACCGAGACGAGACAGTATTCCTCCCACGAGAAAATCATGGACCTTTTCCTTTGTTATAAACGTTGATCGAACGTCATCTGTTTGGCACACGGTATGAAATGAGATACGTATTCTGGAGTTAAGTGTTGGTTTATTTCTCAAGTCTGTTGCATCTGTTAACTTTCCGCGGGCTATCGCTGATCAACAGTGATATCTAAAGATCTGGAAGCGAACTGCATAAACAAAATGATGCTGAAATTTCCTAAATAACGTTTGAATATAACATCGAACATCCAAACAAACTTCTGAGTGATGTGCAGCAGACTGAATACGTTCTATTGAATGGTTTTACAATAAACAGTTCCCGGAAAAGAAGAAGCAGAGCTGGATGGCAGAACTCAGCTTACTTGCAGTTGTGTGAGCAGCTTAAAAAGAGAAAGATGAAAAATTTAATGTCACCAAGCGATTCACCTCGTGACCGGATTGGGTAAGTTATACACAACTATTCAACCATCGTTTTATGAGGGCTGAGCGAAAAGTTACCAGGATACGCAGTACACGAGTACGAGATGCAAATGACCGGGCAAGGAAAACATGAACTGTAATCTATTATGAATATCGTTCAGCGATTGCAACTCACCGAACCAATATCAACAGCACAGCACAGCGCACAACTCACAAGGGTCGCTATACTCCGACTGTGAGGATGGAACTCAGTCGATTTCACCGGATTATACGACTAAAAATATGGTTCAAAGCAGCAACAGAGGTTTGATCGTCCTTGAGCTGTCTTTGGTGATGACGAGCCTTCAAGACGAACTAGTTGAGCGGCTTCACACTTCAAGCGTAGCAGGCGGTCCCTGCATGATGAGGCAGTGGTTGACCTGTGGAAAGCACAACAGCAGACAACAGTATTGCTGAGCAAGCGATGGTGGAGGCAGATGCGCCGATGACAGTGGCACAACCGGATAAAATCATCGGGATCAATCCGCGCCATCCTACATGAGAAGCTCGGCTCCAGAACGGTTTGCAGCCAATGGGTACCCCATCAGCTTAGTGCGGAACAGATAGCAGTTCGGGTGAACTGATGCGGCTGCATGCTTGCCAGGTTTAATGGTGGACGTTTCAATGCAGCTTGTGAGTTCATCAGTGGCGATGAGACCTGGGTGTACAGTTTCGACCAAGTAACAATCGGTTCAGTGGACGCCGGTTAGTGAAGCGCTGCCTCAGAAATTCTGACGCTAGCGCAGCGTAACAAAGCAGACGGTGGCTGTGTTCATCGCAAAAACCGGTCATGAGCACATGGCTACTGTACCGCTCTTACAGCAGAGCACAGTCACCTGGAGACTGGCATGCCACCCACTACCTGCCGAAAGCGCTGAAAGTTGTTGCCAGGCGTTATCCAAGGGCTGGAGTACGAGGAAACTTTCTGCACCATGAAAACGCATCTGCAGACCGGTCCCACGTCGTCCGCGATTTTCTGGCCAGCGGACACATCCAAGAGGTTGTTCATGCAGCCTACAGTCCCAACCTGGCTCGGTGCGACTATTTTGTGTTCCTAAATGTCAAGCACGATGCGTGGAATCCGATACTAGTCGCCAACAGCTGCAGTGCAGGCCTTTATTGAACTGGTTGAAAGTTATTCGCTTCAGCATGGTCGAGCTGTTTCACTAAATGGTTCGAGCTGATGAAAAATGCACGAACGCTGGTGGAGAATGCTTTGTGAGTATGTTGTATATTTTTCGTTAACAAATAAAGGTTTTTGCTCCCGATTTGGCACGTCGTCATTGGTTGGCGCGCATTCACCGGCTACAATGAAGTGCATTGCTCTACGAGGACCGTTCAGCTATCGTTGCCGCTGCCTAAAGAAACAAATTGCCAATGACTTACTATGTCATCACTATGAACCCACAGTTTTCGTTACAAATTCACTATGCTCTGCACTCCGCGAATTAGGCAGTACCAGTGTATCGTGCTGGATCATGAATGACCTTTTTGTTTGTTAAAGTTTACTTTTCACATGACAAATTTCGGCTCTTGACGATCGAGCGTCCAATTCCTCGTGTTGACGGCGAACCCATCGACAAGTATAAACCTAGTTAATAAAGCAATCGTTGCCACATGCATCGCAGTGTTCTGATGGCGCTAATCGTCACAAAAGCCGTCCCAAACAACCAAACCAAGCAATCCTTCTTCAGCAGTCAGCGTAAAAGAGAAAGGAAAAGCAGTGCGCTAGGCAGATAGAGGGGATGAAGGGGGTCTCCGCCCTCACCATGACAGAACTACAACCGGCGCTTACCTGAGACGAGACCTACAGGTTAACCCTAGGCCTACATAACTCGGCCGTTCCGACCAGGATTTTGGTGTGCAAGTAAATGTTTGACGAATGAGTGTTGTTTCTTGTTAAGGAGGCATTACCCCTGTACCTTTACCGGACTGCGAGTGATTATTGCAGAGGGGCACTCCTGGCGAACCAATTGCGCGTTTGATTTCACTTTATGTCCCCTCATTTTCATTTCCTGGTCGGTTGACGGGACAACTCGCTAATTTGACGACCACCCCGGTCGGGGGCTGGTGGGCACCGATATTATTTCGATTTTTTTATTATTAACGCGTTTAACATCGTCGGGCATTGGGAGCTGACCCGAATTGATCCTATCCCCAATAACTCGCTTTCGCTCGGGAGACCAGAGCTGTATGCTAACGAGCGCGTCGCCAGATTAGCTTGCCGACAACATCAGCTTCTCTTACAGCTATTCCAGTACACGTCCCATGATCTGTATCAACAGACCAACTTTCGTGGGCGGAAATCTATAAGGAGATCCAAGCCTTGGGACATCACAAAGCGCCGGGCTTCGATGGTTTTCCCTCAGCTCTATTTCAAGTTGGTGAATTAAGGCTTGTTAGGGAACTACAAGTTTTGTTCTCTAAAGTTTGGAACACTGAGGAGGTACTTTCCTCGTGGGGGGAATCGATTGTTATCCCCATCTTTAAAAAGGGTCCGCGCAATCATTGCGCCGATCATAGCGGTGTAAAGCCTGATCCCAGTACCGTCAAAGCTGTTGGCATCTATCATTCTTCGTAGATTGTACAAAACGCGTGAGGAACATACCCGCGAGGAGCAGGTTGGGCTTCGTACCGGTCGTGGATGCATCGATCAAATCTTCAACCTCCGACAGCTGCTTGAGGACCGTCATGCCTACCAAAGACCAACGATCATTGTATTCCTAGACATCCGCGCGGCCTTCGACTCTATCGATAGGACCGCACTATGGAGCTGTTTGTTGAGGAATGGAGTGCCTGAGCAGTCTGTGTCGACCCTTAAAGAGTTTTATCGTCATATCTCGGGTCGGGTTAGGGCCTATGGCCAACTTTCGCCACCCTTCGCCGTCTCCAGTGGAGTTCGGTAAGGCAGCCCTATATCCCCATTCCTTTTCAACTTCGCCATAGAGGATGTTCTACAGAATGCTTTGTCGGGTCTAGCAAACGGTGGAGTCGAACTCCTCCCAGGGGGCAGAGTTCTTGACCTAGAATATGCCGATGACATCGCCTTGCTGAGTGACAACACACAGGCAGTCCAAAACGCTCTGAACACCTTGGTGATAGAAGTATCCAGGTATGGTATGTGCTTTGCACCATCAAAGCGCAAAGTGATTGTTCAATACTGGCAAGAGCCTGTGCCTACACTCACCCTCTGTGGTGATGGGCTGGAAGTAGTTGAGAGCTTTAAGTACCTCGGAAGCCTAATGATACCTAGAGGTTGAGTCGGGGAAGAAATCACATCCCGAACAGCAAAAGCTAGATCAGCTTTCGCCAATCTTCGACACCTGTGGAGCCGTCATGATATTCGACTGTCCCATAATTGACGGGTGAAAGGTTGGCAATATCGATCCATTCTCAGATGAGGAACTGTCTGGTTTGGAGTATGCAGACGACATTCTACTGCAAATTGAAGATCAATGTAAGTTGCCGGTTTTCGTGGATAATTTCAGTGATAGTCTAGCCATCTTCAGTATGCGTTTTACACCTTCAAAGTGTAGAACGTTGCTACAGGACTGGGTTGGTACAACACCAGATCTCACTTTGACTGGGGAAGTAGTAGAGCAAGTAGACAAATTTTGCTATCCGCGTGGCTATATCTCACTCGGCCGACGCATCACAGGTGAGGTGTCTGCACACATACAGAACGCTCTAATGTTATTTGCCAAATTGAGACATTTGTGGCGCCGTCTCGACATCCGGCTGTCCGTGAAAAATGGAGTATTTGCTGTAGCAGTTTATCCAGTGCTGCTTTACAGTACAGAGACTTGGGCACTACGGAACAGGATAAAAATAGGTTGTCGGTGTTTGAACACCGCTGTCTACGTCGCATTGCACTGGCTGGTTGGGGAACCGAGCGAGGAATGCTGATGTCAGGTGTAGAGTTTCGGGCAGTCGCGGCATGTGTTACGCATCCATCCTCATCCTCTTCTTTTATCCAAACGGGCTTCCAGTAGACAGCAACCAAACCGGCACACTCAAGTGCATAGTTAGTGGTTGTAAAAACTGAAACTGACACCGGCACGTCCTCCACCATCGCTCGCACAGCAAGGATTTAGTCCGCTGTTGTGGCCTCCACAGGTCAACCACCGTATCTCATCCTCCAAGAGACGTCATGCTTGAAGGGCGCAAACCGGTGTTTTTCGTAAGGCTCCTTATCAACAGAAGCAGCTGAAAAACGATCAACCCTCTGGTGCTGATTTAAACTGTGTCGTATAAAAGTCGTATAAAAGCATTTCCCCCCGGTGATTTTATCCTCACTGTCTGAGTAGAGCGCTTCTTGTGAGTTGTGCGCTGCGCTGAGCTCCGCTTTAGTATGTTCGGCGAGTTGCATCCACTCACAATTCACAATTTATGGACCCATGATACACGTAATGAAAAGTACATTGCTCGGAATATACCGTAAGTGCAAAACTCGTCCAAGGTCGTGGTTACTGTGGGAAACTTCGGTAATATCCGAACGACTACGACCAGCAGTATCGAGCACGAAACAGTGCGTCACCCTTCATGCTTATCTAGTCGGGTCCAGCTTAGCTGTCTCACGTAAATCGCACGGCTTTATCGGATCGATGTCCGTCAGCGAGCTCGACAAGATGCAAGACTGAGGTCTTCTTCATTTCAGCACAAAAAGATCGTGAGGAGACAGGTGGTCAGTCAGCGGATAGGAAAGTCGTGTGATCAATTGCTCAGTGAGATGCATTGAACGAAAGCGGATCCAATCACGGCGTTCCTTTCTCTATGATCAGAGTGACAGTTTCCAAGTTCAAAGTGATGGTTTCTCAATTCAAGCAGAAGGTTTCGCAAATCGAACTTATAGTTCCTCAAATTGATCGATTGGTGGCATTAAATCTTCCGACTAAATGGAGTCATTTTAATTTTTTTCTTTTTAAGCTGCTCACACAACTGCAAGTAAGCTGAGTTCTGCCATCCAGCTCTGCTTCTTCTTTTCCGGGAACTGTTTATTGTAAAACCATTCAATAGAACGTATTCAGTCTGCTGCACATCACTCAGAAGTTTGTTTGGATGTTCGATGTTATATTCAAACGTTATTTAGGAAATTTCAGCATCATTTTGTTTATGCAGTTCGCTTCCAGATCTTTAGATATCACTGTTGATCAGCGATAGCCCGCGGAAAGTTAACAGATGCAACAGACTTGAGAAATAAACCAACACTTAACTCCAGAATACGTATCTCATTTCATACCGTGTGCCAAACAGATGACGTTCGATCAACGTTTATAACAAAGGAAAAGGTCCATGATTTTCTCGTGGGAGGAATACTGTCTCGTCTCGGTTAAAGCTCAATGTAGATTTAACTTCTCATGATTACCTCTCCAACTTTCATTTATTGTAAATGTTGTGCATTCAGGAATTCCACTTGATTTTCATTCTCATGCCTTCGGAGTTATCAGTTCGCGTTTTTATCAATTTAATATCTGAATTTTCTGGTCCTATTCTTTCTTGTGTTTTCGGTCGGGAAATTTTAGCAACAAGTACCGATGGTCAGTTCGTCATATCTACAAACCCCGTGCAAGGAGGATGCACAAGTTCAAACCGGTAAGTTTTCTGTACTTGCATACATGTGCGTTTTTTCCGTACTCCTTCTTTCTATCGTTGTTCAATTTCAATTTTATTGCTGGCAAATTCATGCTTTTTATGATGTTCCGTGAAATATGTAACTGAATAACAACTGATTGCTGTGAAATTTTTCTCACTCGATTAGCTCTACTTCTTTCTTACACGAATAAAATTAGCGGTTAGAAAAAAGGGAATGTCTTACTTCAAACAAGGGTTTCCACTCACCGCAATGGATCACAATAACGGATCCAAATATAGACTGCTGCTCCAGTGACGATTGTGAAACGTGGCCGTTAGTTTCGAGAAAAGTTGTATCGTTGTCACCAGATAGGTTATCACGCTGAGCGATGTTCGCCGAAGCAGACACCGAGTGGAAAAAAGACAAGGGTGGTCAATCTAAGACCTGGCACGAGGTTATGAAAATCCTTACCAGGAGACTAGGTCACATAGGTCCTGTTAGGCTCCCTAGCTGGGGACCTCGGGATGATCGTAACCGATGGTTAGAGACACTGAGCGATATGGCTGCGTGTCGTAAACAGTGGCGTTTGTGCGTCTTCTCAATCTCTTTGCAACCTTAGACCACGGAATTTCTCTTTTTTTTACTCCACTTTAAACTTTCTTTTCTTCTTCCAATCTTCATCCAAATGGGCAGCCGTAAGAGAGCAATCAAAACCGGCGCACGAAGATGCGTGGTTAATAGTAGTTCAAACTGAAACGGTGTAGAATAACCGAATTTTATCAATTTGTGTCCCATTTTCAATGTTCACATTTAATGGAAACCATTACCTGCAGTCTCATTCAATAGAACGTGATATTATTTACATTTTGTGCTAGTAGAAGATTCTTTTAAAAACGTCTCTGGTTCAACTGGCGCTCTCCTGTGTTTCCGGTTTGGTGATGCGGTCACTACTCACTAGTCACCTCGAAATCATCCTGGTTCGAATACCCACCAATAAGCTTTCGAATTGAGCAATGTTCGATGCAGAAGATCAACGATTTTGCGACAGTACGTGAGACCTAATTCAATATTCGATATGCAATACCATGCCCTATGAAACCTACCTGTTCGATTTGCTTAGTCTCTTTATTCAAACTCATGTTTGCGCCGGATGCGTATTGAACACTCCCCGCACAGAACCAAACAAAGCAGCAACTGGCGCGAAAAACTTGATTCCACGTTGTGCTCGCGAATTAGGTTCGAAGTTTATGGGGAAAAAGCCGGCAAGCTCTTCACAAAACGACCCCAACGTTGTGAATCGCCATATCCCCGAATCGACTGGTGTTACTAAAACTCGATCAAATGGTTCTGTAAAGGCAAATCAGCGAATCACGATGCCGAGAATGAAATCGACTCCTCCAATTGATACTGTGACCAAGGGCAAAAGTGAGTACATTCTCCTTGCCAGTGTTTGTGTGTATCCTTGCGTCATTGTAGTTTTAAGACGTGCCCATGTTTTTCGCTGTCTGTATCTGAAAGTTCATCACCCAGCTTTGCTTATCAAGCGGTTATCAGATTCGCCATACCTTCCGTAATCGCCTTGCAGTGAAATTGTGATTAGCAAAATATTTGAAAATGGATACATGATGGAGTTTTTTTCTGCTTTTAAACGCGATAGAAATATTTGTGATGACCGAGAAAGAGCTCTGGATAGCTGTTTCATCCTGCTCGGGAATCGTCAGCAGTGCGTACTTTGTTGTGCCTCTGCTATGACTCGAACTGCGGACATTCGGGTTGGGCCTTCAGGCCCTTACCTCTGAGCTACACGGTTTAACGATCTCCCAAAGAGTGAAATCCATCCCCAAGATCATCAGCAATGCTTGGTGCCTGTGAAATAACCGAACAGGCTTATCCAAATATTCACCGTCTAAAAATGTTTCTATCTTATTTACTTTACTGTCACTGAACTATTAACTATCAATTTTGTTTTTCGCTTTTCCTCAGTCCACCTCCCTTGTTCAAATTCGATGTTTAATGAATGTGCTTTTTATCATTTGCATCCTCGTAATCATGGAATTCTGAGGTCCATTTTATGTTCAGCTCAGTTGAGTTCTTACAACCAATAATCGTGCACTTTTATGCACCACTTTAGGTTATCCTGTCTGTTTGGTCGATTGTTGTTTTCTCGATGCTGGCGAGTAAACAGTGTGTTGCTGATTGTTGCGCTAACTACCACATAAATCAAACGTCACTCTCAGAGACCTTTCCACTGAGGACAATGTTTATTCACACTCCCTCCTCTGACCTTCGATTATCACCAGTTGTTCTGTTGCTCAACCCTAGCTCGGTCATCTCAGGCTCGTCGTCCTTCCGGATCTGGTGCTGGAACTCCGACTTCCACGCAATCACGGGACCAATCACAAGAGCACGTTATGCATGATGAACATTTAGACAGTCAGACTACCACATGGGTAGACGCAGACGTAACGGATACCGATTATTGCAGGGCAGCTTACACTGCATCCAATCAGAACGATGGCTTTGTACCGTACCATCGTCCAGAGTCCAGACAAAGGAAACACACGGGGTTCACACCACCTCCGGAAGTCCCCAAACCACAAACTAAACGGAAATCGCAACCTGCCCCGGGGAACCAAAACCCCATCAAGTGAGTGAAAAGACTGTATTGAGAGCGTGCGTGAGGGTTACGGGGGAGGGAGGGGGGGGGGGTTGCGAANACATATAATCAGATTCTACGTGTTAATTTTTTTTCGAAAAATAAATGAAAAATAGTTTTCCGTGGCAGATCAGCAGATGAATAAACTTACAAGGTTTTGCCAAATCGGGTTGACAATCCCATCACGATTACTATTAGTGACTAAAATATCATATCAAAGAAAAAGCTTGCTTCATATTTTCCGTTCTTTCATGCGATTTTTGTTTTGGGATTTCAAATGCACGTAAATAATCGTCTCCGTAGGGACTCTTGCTTTGAAAGCGATCCCATGGATTAATACCGGTTCTCCGTTTACAGTGAAGATTAATCGGGGACGAGTTGGCTGGAGGGGCCAAGTACGACTCAATGGGTTAGCGTTCGATGTTCGTGTTCTAGGATGAACAGACGTATTTGATGTGCACTTTGATGGATTCATAAATAAATCTCCTATTGACCGACACCAAAGCCAAAACTCTTAGAGGTCGTTTGCTCTCAACTATTCTCTCCTGGCAAATGCCGAACGCATGAAACCAAACTTGATTTGAGACTCCTCTATGCCGATCTCCGATATATCTTCGCTATTCAATGAATTTTGGTGTTTCGACGTCATAAAAGGTGTGCAGTGAAACCAACTTTAATTCTCTTTATCGATTTCGCACTGTCATTAAGACAGATCCGAATGATGATAGTCATGATGATGATATCTGTTTCTAATAATGGAACTAGAAGTGAGCCAGCATAACTCAGACACGTAGTGTGTGACTGTTTAA